CCCACCCCCTTTCCCTACCGCCCCCCCAGCCTTCAAACAGTCCCAGGGATTGGGGAATGGGCCCCACGCTGGGGTGACCCCCCCACACACACCCCAAAAGAGGAGAGGGCTGGTGTGACCTTCTCCCAGCAGCGGGGCTGCGGGGCGAGCGCCTGCCTTCACCTGCCCCCACGTCAGCTGGGGAGCTGCCACGTTTCGGGGCCTTTCATGGCAGCGGGGAGCTGCCAGTACTGGGGTCCACACTGGTGGGTAGGGTCGTCCTGCTGGGTGCTCTCAACCTGTGCCAGTGGCCCATGACACCCTGAAAAACATCACCAGGGGGTCACGCAGCCGAACCTGGGGGCAAGGAAAGGGTGTCACTGCCAGGAGGGCGAACCAGGGTCCCAACCCATGAGATCAGCCAGCAGCATTGCTTAAAAGCGGGATCAAAACCCTCTACACACTGGCTGCCCCCGTGGCTCAGCCTCGACTCTTCTGAGCTATGGGGCAGCACCAGCTCCAGCCCCCCAACCGCCCCGGGAGGGTGCCTGCAGGGTTGGTGCAGCTATTACCTCCAGCTCCCTGGGGCTGCGGTAGGCCTTGTTGCACACTTGCGGGACCAGAGGAGTGATTTGGGACTAAAATCCCATCTTTTCTTCTCCTAGATCACAGCGCAGACTGGCTCCCGCCCTCACTGAGCCAAACTGGATTTCAACCGGTGATCTGTAAGGTGAGACGCTGCGTCCCCCTGCTCCGTCCCCGGGCTGTTCAAGACCACGCGGGGCCACCGAAACTGCCTAAGCTGCCATAGAAAAGGTTTTGTGTCTAATGGGATATTTGCCAGCAAATTCAAGCCACGAACACTATATATTTCTTTATTTGTAAAGGTGTTTGAAGTCCTTGAATTTACCCTTCGGCCACCTTAAATCTAGTTTCTAATCCCCAGCGCAGTTAATCAAATCCACAGTGGCTTGAATTATGAGATGTCTGGGGGGGATTTATAGCTTGTATTGCTGATTATACCTTGACTTTATTATATTGCAAATATCTAACTTATGGTCACGGCTGAGATTTACAATCCTCAGGTAGGTGCTTAGGATAACTTTTAGCAACTCCACATGTAATTGGAGGTGACTGATGGGGCTGTCGTCACAGATAAACATGTAATCTGTAAAACGTTAAGACAGGAGAAGAAGTGGCAGAGTAGGTGAAAAGGGTGGGTCAGTCTTAAAAAAATAAAAATATGACTGGGTGTACTGCTGAGTAAGGCTTTGGGATGCCTGGTCTGGCTGAGGCATCCCTGCCCAAGAAGGGATTTTGGGCTTGTTGATCTCCAGAAAATACCAGAATTTAGATCTTTGTTCCTTCTTGCTCTCAGCTGAAGGTTTTTAGGGTTTGAAATAGTCCTGGGGAGGGTGAAGGGGTGATAAATAGAAATTGGGGGGGACATGGCACCTGCGGCTCTTTCAGACCTGACCGGTGGTTTCTCCCCTGTCTTGGAGGAGCAGCGAGTCCTGCGCGGGCACGTGCCCCTCAGCCAGCATGACAAGCGAGGTGGTGGAGAATGAGTTTGAGTTTTACTCCAAAGCAGAGAAGTACTGGAAGGATGTGCCCGCCACGGTGGATGGCATGCTGGGAGGCTATGGCCACATCTCCAGCATCGATATCAACAGCTCCAGAAAGTTCCTGCAGAGGTTTCTGCGGGTAGGTGGCACAGTCTGTCATGCTCCCAAAGGCCCATCCTTCTCCCAGCACAGAGCTGGGCTCTTCCTTCTGAGTTGCTCCATGGGATCCTCTGTTGCGTGTGTGCTGGGAAAGCTTTGCCCTGCAGTGGGTCCCCCATACCCCAGTCTTGCCCACATGGTTGCCCCATTTCTCCTCTGTGGGTACCTCGCAGTGGATTCAGCCCCTCATGGTTGTTGTTCCAGGATGGCCCCAACCGGACAGGGACAACCCGTGCTCTGGACTGCGGGGCGGGCATTGGCCGGATCACCAAGCGGCTGCTGCTGCCCCTCTTCAAGACGGTGGACATGGTGGACGTGACGGAGGACTTCCTCACCAAGGCCAAGAGCTACCTGGGAGAGGAGGGCAGGCGGGTGCGCAACTACTTCTGCTGCGGCCTCCAGGACTTCAGCCCTGAGCCAAACTCCTACGACGTCATCTGGATCCAGTGGGTCATTGGTGAGGGTTGCTTTGCTTGCGGGGTCTCGCCAGCCTGTCCTCCATCCAGCTTCCCCCAAGGGGGAGGTGCCCCACGCACTGGGGAGTGCTTTGGGCAGGAGAGCTTGAGGTCTGCATTAAAGATGAGCATCACAGCACGGGTGGGAGGCCGAGTTGGGGACCTACCCTCCGTGGGCACTACAAGGGCATTGCACTATGGGGTCTTTTCCCCCAAGTCCTTGGAGACCAGGGCAGAGGTGTGGGTTGGATAGAGCCTGTGGGACACAAGTTGGAAACCTCCAAACTAAAGCTTTCACCTGCAAACGGCTCCAGTATTTGGCTGCCTGGATCCCAACTGCAACCTCCCAGTCTCCTCCCCTCCTCCTGTGCCCGTCACCCCATGCCCTCTAACCCCCCCTGCTCTGCCCCTCCAGGACATCTCACTGACAACCACCTCTCCGACTTCCTGAAGCGTTGCCGTGCTGGCCTGCGGCCCAACGGCATCGTGGTCATCAAGGACAACATGGCTCAGGAGGGCGTGATCATGGACGATGTGGACAGCAGCATCTGCCGGGACCTGGACGTGGTCCGTAAGATCATCCGCCGAGCTGGGCTGCACCTCCTGGCCGAGGAGCGCCAGGAGAACTTCCCCGATGAGATCTACCACGTCTACACCTTCGCCATGAGATGAGGGCGGCCGGTGGTGGGAGAAGGTCTCTCCAGGGCCAGCTCAGAGCACGGGCCAGCACGGTGGTTCCTGCCAGGGCCGGGAGGGGTGAGGACCGTGCCTTCACTGCGGGGTGGTGGACGGCAGCGAGGGTGTCACGACTCCCTCTCTCCGGGGCTGGTGGCAAGGATGGGGCTTTGTCTTCCAAGTTGCTGCTGTTTGTGAAAAGAGGTGTTTGCCAAATACATTTTCCTGCTGTTGCACTTCCGCACGTGGGCTTTGTCAGATGCAGCGTTGGCTTGATGCTACCTTTGGGGGCTCTGTACAGGAGCAAGAGGCCTGCTCTGTGGGCACCAGCAGGTTGCTGACTGCAGTCACACACAGCTCCTGTTAGTGAGCAGGAGCTCAGAGCACCTCTGTGAGGGTCTGGGCTCCCTTCCTTGCTTGGGTGTTTGACCCTTGCCCACTCTTGAACTTGCTGCTGTTCACAGCAACAAGCTGGGCAAGGCAAATGGGAGAAATCTCTGCCATTTCCCTGGGGTGGGTTGGGGAGGCAACACCAGGTTCTGGGGCTTCATGCAGGCCTCTCCTTTAAACCCAGGAGCAGGTCTCCCACACATGCAGAAAAAAGGGAGGCGGATGCAATCCTGGGTCCCCCACATCCTCCAGGGTTAGAGGTAACTCAGACAAAGCCCTGCAACCCTGGGAGAGAGCTGGTGTGCTCTGGGCATTAATGGGGAACCTGCTCTGAACTGCCCCCGGACCCCCCCCCAGCCCATTACCACAGACTCACATGATGCCCAGCACCTCCTGCTTGAATGCTGCAACACTACAGCTGCTCTCCCAACACCCTACACCATCTCCCAGCTTTGAACACTCCCATCTCCTCCTTGGCCATAACCATGTTGTTTTGCCCAACTCCAGCCACTGGCTTGTGCCAGCCTAACCCAACATGACTTGGCCAGCACTGGCACGACTGTTTGCCAGGTGGGCGAGCCAACAGGCAGACCCCAACTGCAGCCCATCCCTCCAGCCAAGCTCACACGTGATTCCACCCATCCCTGCAGAGCCATCTCCTCCACCCCATCTCTCCTGCAGAAGAAACAAGCCCCTTGTCATTATTACAAAAGGCCTCATTTAATTGCTCATTTCCCATTCCAGACACCAGGGGAATATTTGATCACATTATTATTATTTTTAAACATCAATTCATCAAGATGTATAGCTCCAGTTCTACAGGGTGGGAGAAGGTAAAACTCAGATGCTGCCAGGAAGGCAATGGGGGGAAGACAACCCTTCTGCAGCTAAACTGCCAGTGGATCCCAGATCCACCTGCTATAAACTGTACCTACTCAGAATAGGTTTTTTTTCCTCTTTTCATCTTCTTCTGCATCTGTCCCCCATGACAAACAAAACCCAAAACAACAAAAACGTGGGGAGCTCAGCTCTGTGGCCAGTCTTTGGCATGTCACGAGGAAGCAGATGCCTAGAAGGGGAGACAGACAGCTGTGGCAAGGCTGGGACACAGGACCTCTAGAGTTTGGAGCTTCCAGTAGCAGCTTGGAAAGAAAACCCCGAGTGCTGCAACTTCTTGTTCCTGGGAAGGAGGCACTGGAGACCAACGTCCTCGGAACAGTCAGCAAGGGAAAGAGCAAAGGAACAGGGAGGGAGGCACAAGGCTCTCAGCAGAGTTAACTGCCTGTTCCTCATCCTTGCACAGGGAAAGCACCACAAAGCTGAGAAACATCCATTTGTCTGTTTTAGAGCCCAGCACCTCCGAGATGTCCTTGGACAGTCCTCCGTGCCAAGAGGATGGGGTTCTCCCAGCAGAAACTCAGAGGGTGCAGAGCAGCCAGCCACCACTGCCAGCCCTGCTCTCCTTCACCCTCGCCCCTGGTTTCAGAAGCTCGCGTGAGCGAGGAAGGCATCCACATCCGCAGGGAGATGCTGGACCTGCCTCCACCACAGCTGCTCCCACCACCAGGACAAGAGGCAGGAAACCAGGACACTGATGCCAGCACACTCCTAGCACAGGGAACACCTCTTCTCCCAGCACCCCAAGGCATCTCACAACTCCGCCGGTCACCTAAGGCACTGCTTCACCCACCCCAGACCTGGCAGGGCTGCAAAGAGAAGGGACAAGCTGCCTGTCCAGTCACACCACTCCAGCTGCCCCACAACCCGCCAGGACTTTTCTTAAAATCCACACAAACCAGCCCTCTGCCCAAGTGTCCGGGTCCCCAGTGTCCAGGGGCTTTCTTCACCCCCAGGGAGCCACAGGGCTCTGTCTGCCTCCCCACAATGTGCCCCAGAGCAATGAGGCCTCCACAGACTTGCACGTGGTATCATGCCCAAAAAAGCATACCCCCCAAAACACAGCAGAGAGGGACACTGTGGGCAGCACTGGCCAAGCCATGGGCATGTGGACAGCAACACCTCTTGCAGCAGAGAAAACTGGCCCAGAGCAGAGATGTGGTGGCTGTAGGAGCACCACAACTGTGGAGGGAGGACACGGAGAGGCATTAGTCAGGCTCAGAGGTCCTCGTGCCCAGCAGCAGTGTGGTCAATGAGGAGGTACCACTTCAGCCTGTCTGGAAGAGGTAGAGCCTTGATTTTAACATCTACTGGCCATGGTTTAAGGCGCTGCCGAATAAACACCCTGCAGAGATGTTTCAATGCCTGTGGGGAGCGCTCCAGCTGCTTCAGAGAGCAGAAGAGAGTCCTGATCTTCTCCCCATGATACCTACAACTGCTGGTGTTGACCTCAAAGTTGCTGGGCAGCTGGATGGCTTGTGAACTGGCCATCATGAGCTCCAGCAGAGTCTGACCCTTCTGGATGAGGTCTGTAGAGAAGCTGTCATCTTCGGAGACGCTGAGGTGCGAGCAGAGGCACTCGAAGACGATGTGGAAGCCTGACCAACACGAGGGACCATGGAGGGAGCAGTTGTAGGCAGCACCTGACTCCAGCAAGAAACGCAGCAGTGGGAAGTGGCGTTTGAAGCTTTTGAAGCAGAGGTGAGTGAGGGACTCAGGGGCCGGGCACTCACTGGGGTTGGCACCATGGGCCAGCAGCAGCTGTGTGACACGAAAGCAGAAGCGATTGATCACCTGTGCCTCCTCAGTGCTGCTGCATACCATTTCTCCCAGCAGGAAGATAACATAGGTGAAGACCGTGTCACCATCTTTGGTGGTGGCCCTGACGTCTGCACCTGGAGGAAGGGACAAAGAATGTAACTGGCATTGCAGACAATGAGACCAGGACAGTGCTAACTCTGGCACTGCTAGGCTTTACTCTTGCTGAAGTGGGAACATAAAGGAGTTGGGAGGGCAGTGCCCAGTGCTGTACAAAGAATCAGCCAGCGCTAGGCCTGGAGAGATTGTGTGCAGAGAGGGGAGAAGGTTGCCCTTACCTCCTTCCAACAAGAGATGGATGCTCTCAGTGTTGTGGATCTGGACACCGTCACTGCTGGCCAGGGCGTGCAACAGCGCTGTTTTTCCTGCAATGCAGCCATCGGTCAGTCAGATGAAAATAGGGTGACACCCCAAACGGCAGGAAGGAAAACAATCCACCCCACCAACCAGGTGGCCAAACATGGGATGAGACAACCCTTCTACTTCTGGCAGGCTTCCGCCATCCCCATGATGGTGCACAGCTGTGGGGACATGGTCACAGGCCACATGTGCAGGGCTGTTGGTGGCCCCAGAGGGCATGTGTGCCACGGTACAGTGAGTTTTAGAGCATATGGGCACCACGGGGATATGGAGGCACAGCCCCATCCCATTTCCCAGGGACTGTGCGGAGCTGGTTTCAGCCCCCTTCTACACCTGACACAGCCAGCATACAAAGAGAAAACACAGAGCACCAGGGAGGTTCTGCAGCCTGCACCCAAATTCCAAACCAGTTTGTAACCAGAGAGCACTTGCAGCAGCAAGACGGAAAGACCCGGACCCCATGCCCTGCTCTAGCCCACTCATGATGGCCAACTGCTGGGAGAACCCAGGCTGGGGGAGCTGGACAGGGCACACAGACCATTTTTGTCAGCTGCGTTGACATCAGCTCCCAGCTGAAGCAGCCGCTGGAGGCATGGCAACCGCTCGGGCTCCTCACTGGCCAGGTCGAGAGGACTGCTCTCATGGATCTGCATAGAGCAAGAGGAAAAAAAACCCCAAGTATTAAAGACTATTTGTGAGTGCCTCCAGAGAGTCGCTACTGGGGCTTCATCATGGCCAGCATAAGAGCATATTTCAACCCATCCCCCCAAAATCAAAGTGAACCTTCCCCGGTGTATCCACAGGGAAAGGTTTGTCTACCCCAGCCTTCTCCCACCTATCACTCCATGGCAGAGGCAGGTTTGCTCAGCCAAAGGCACCCTGAGCTTCTGCCACAGCATCAGAACACTACAGGCAACAGGGACAGGAGGTCACCAAGGGGAAGCAGTGGGAAGTGGGGAGCATGGAGGGCTGTCCCCACACTCCAGTCCCTTGCAGCTAAGTCTCAATGGGGCGCAGCTTGGCTGTGCCCAGGCAGCTAAATCCGTACCCGGTCTCTCCGGTTGATGTCGGCCCCGTGGTGCACCAGGAGCTCCACCATATCCGGCTGGTTGCGGAGCACTGCGATGTGCAGGGGGGTGTAGTAGGTGACTGGATCTGAGGACAAAAACACAAGAGTCAGAAAGAACTAAGGGCTTTCCCATAACGGCCCCAATACCCACCAAAAGCAGAAGGAGGCAGCTGGGGAGGGTCCCGAGAATATCATGATGCCCATGAAAACAGGACTGTCACAGACACCCCAGGTCCTGCTTTTGCAATGGCTCCATCTCTGGCAAAAGCCCTCAAAGCTGCAAACTGGCCCCCAAGCCCCTGGCCATCCCCCAGTCCATCACTGTGGCTGCACAAGGGCTGCCACAAGGCAGATCCATGCTATCCCAGCAAGGAGCGGGAATCTGAGCTGGCAGCACCCTCTCTTTCTGCCCCAGCTATCACTGTCTTCCTGGGCAGCTTCTCACCAGCTGGTTCCTCCTGGCCAGGCCCAGTCCCCTTCCCACCAGCCTTACCTTCAAAGCTGAGGTCAGCTCCAAACTCCAGGAGGATTTCTGCGGCAGGGACGAGCCCCAGCTCGGTGACCTTCAGCAAGGCATAGCTCACACCTTCCTGATAAAACGGGGAGTGAGTCTCCCGCTCCAAGACTCGTCTCACAGCCGAGAGCTGGCTCCTGTCATTGCCCAGACAGGCAGGGCTTAAGACACACAAAAACAACCAGTTAATCAGCTGAACGGCACATGTCTCAGGGGTGTGCAAGGGTCAGTGTAGCACCAGAGAAGAAGAAAAATCCCTAGTCTCCCCTCTTGTCACATAACCACCAGGTCTCTAATCTGTTGGCTGTAGGGTTAAGCAGCAGCATCAAGGTCACAGCTGAACCTCAGTCTAGGTTTTACTGCCATGGGTCAGCCAGAAAGGGCTGCTCCTGGGGAGCGTACGTAGTCCCTGTGTTTGCTCTGCTCCGCTCCCACGTTCCCAAAGAATAGTGGCAAGACTAAGGTTTGTGGGATGAGCTGGGGTTTGTTCCCAGCCAGTGCTGTGTCTGACCTCGGCCGCATCACTGAGCTCCAGCCATCACCCCCTAAAACACCAAATGGGCGTTTAGCCCCAGAGCTTTGCTCACAGCCCCATCTAGTTACCTCTCAAGGGTGCTCTGCTGTTCCGCATCCTGTATCGCCAGCAACCCCAAGATCTCGTCTACCAGGGGCTGATACTCGAAGATGATCCTGCGGAAGCCGTGCAGGAAAGGCATCGTGCTCTGCTCTGCGCACAGACTGTCCAGGGACCTCCAGCATGGCAGTGGTGTCTTCCCCCACGCAGGACTCTGGTGGACAGACCCTGGCGCTGCCTGGTTTCCAAAGGCTTTTTCCTTCCTTTTAAAACAAACAAGCCTTTCTAGCAGTTTTGCACTTAGAAAAAACCCGCAGCCTTCCTCCCTCCCTGCTTATGCATTTCTAAAAGGCAACAAAGATCAGCGCAATGCTCTCCTCCCACACACCACGGAGGTGCATTCCAATTATCTCCCGCACGCAGAGCCGCAAATTGGAGTTATCTGGGCGCAGGAAGAAAACACGCCAGGCGGAGCCCAGGCTCAGGGCAAACCCCCTTTGCAGAGGCTCTGCCGCAAGCCCCCACACACTGGGGGTGCCAGGGAGAGGGCAGCCAGAGCGGAGAGGTGCTCCGGGGTTGCCTGTGACCAGCAGACCCCTGCCTGGGGGAAAAGCAGGGCTGGAGCAGCCCCCGCAAGGCCGGGGGCCCCGTAACCCCCCCGCGACCCCCAGCAGCCAGCGCGGGGACCTCCAGCGCACAGGGCGGCAACCCCAGGGAGGGGACCGAGAGGCCCCTAAATCTCACCGCAACCCACGGGGGGCAAGCGCAGAGGCCTATAAACCCCTCAGCACCCCCGGGGGGGGGGGGGGGCGGAGGCGCGC